TGACATGACATGACACATTAATTAGTGCACAGGAGTGCATGACTCGGGTGTGTTCAGGTGATAGGCTGGAATGTCAGACATTGATTGACAGGAAGCACCTGAATATTATTACCAGACACGGGAGAAAACCTAAACTTGTGACCTTGTCTCTGTGTACAACTTTCGGAAAATATTCTCTGAGAGGCTCAATAAACGCAAGGCATTTGACACCCACTTCTCTGCAAGTTGTATCCAAGGATCATATTAATCTGAAAATATCTTGGATAAGACACATATTTACAGAATGATATCCTGGTACTACAGAATTCATTGCACTGTTGTGTTTGCCCAGGATCCACCAATACAGATAGGTAGTACGGTAGCCCATTCCAACTGATATTTAATTTGGGTGAACAGTGAAAGATTACATTTCACATTAACTACTACCTTCTAATATCTCTCTGGGGATGGGATCTCCGCACTTAGTATCAGAGATTACACATCTGTTGTGGCTATTTTGAGGCTCTAGATTTTTTTAATATATTTTATATAACACAGAATGGGGTAAAAAAAGAGAGAGCAGCAGCTGAATGAGTGGAAGGATATGGTGAGAAGGGAAGAACCAGAAATTCTAGTAGAGAAGCCCCAACATAAAGAGTTAACTTATAAGAGGCCAGTCTGGGGCTTTACCCACCATTTCCAAATTACTGGGGTTAAACAAAAAAATGGAAACATTCTTTTGCTTCCGCTGTGTGATGAGACACCTAGCTAACAGGTGGGAAGCCTCACTTTCGTCATTCACTGCATGCATTGCTAGTAATACAGAGTCGTGTCAGAGCTTACTGAGCTTCAAAAAGGGCAAATTGTTGGTGCCGCTTAGCTGGTGCCTCTGTGACCGAAGTTGCCAATATATTTGCTGTGTTGCGAGGTACAGTATCAAAGGTTATGACGGCATATACAGTTTCTGGGAAAACATTGTCTGACAAGCATAAGCGCAATCGACATGATCAACTGACCGAAAGAGACAAAAGGACATTGTGGACCAAGGATTGTGAGTTGGAAAAATCTCTCAATAGGACTATGTGGAGAGAACTTCCCAATAGTCTCATGTTCCATGTAAAATTGCAGGAATCCTTACCAATGTCCTTGGGTTTACTATGGCAAGCATTTCCTCTTGGATGCTTGCTGCACAGCCTAACGCCAAACAAAATATTTATTATTTAGTAGGTAAGTGTTGGAAGCTCTTCAAGATATTACTGCTGTGTGTATCAGCATTGGGTAGATTTTCTGTCACTTGTCTATTTTTATGGTTTTCAACAGAGAAAGAGGGGAAGATACAGCAGTAAAAGGTCATTTTTTCAGTTGAGTGGGAATGGGTTCAAAGGCTAAATACACCTTTTAGACTATGTTACATGCTGCACCCATATTTAGAGCGTAACACATAACATGTGCCCGTGGAAGATCCTCCCACCACCACCAACCCAAAGTCAGCATGCTACTACAGTCACATCATTCATTCACAGAAATCTGTGAAAGAATAAACTACAAGCCCCATCTGCCACTGCAGCAGACAAATTTGTAGTTCTCAATGGACTACGAGACCACTGATCAGAACCCCTGTAGTCCACCTACATTTCCTCCAGCTCAATAACTGAGAGCCAAAGAGATGGAAGAAGAGTCTGCAGGAGACTGATTTGCAATGCTTTTCAGGCTTCTTTGCAAACAAAAAACTTGCACTTTTTTATTTTTTGCTGCAAATTCACATGTATGCATTATTTGTTTGCACGAAAAAAAGTTAGCCTTTAAATGTCAATCAGGTTTTGATGGAATTTTGTGTTCCCATTTGAAAGATAACCCCTAACTTCCTGTCAAGGTAACAAGTGTCACCTGAAGTAATTTTTCACTTAGACACGGACAGCAATAAAACACTGAGGTTCTAAGCTTTCCCTGTTCTATACAAAACTAAGAATATATTTTGGACTGAGCTGTGCTTTAAGAAGGAGTGTCATTGTTTTTATCACAACATTGAGATTGTGTGTATTGATGTCCAAGGTTTGAGAGCACTTATGAAATTCTTCAGTACAGACATGGTTGTACATCCATTTACCTTGCTGGAAGATGCTTGGCATACCCATTATTTGAACACCACCACGGAGCAGAATGAGAAGCTAGCCTTTAGGAGTTCTCCCTAAAACTTTTTAGATGGGGATAAACTTAATAGGAATAGGAGGAGAGAAAGGCAAACAGGCTGACTGCCAACTACCCTATGGGTGCTGGATTGCAGGATTCCAACATGTCCTCCCTAGGACTGTTCATCTACAGCTCCCTCCCCTTCCCTAACTAATCAAGCATTTTCCTTACAGTCTAAGGCTGTTATTCAACTTACAGTATACTTTACTATTCTTAATTATAACTCAAGAGATGCACAGCCCCGATCAATTGCCCCTCACCCAAAGGTAGACTTGAGAAATAAGGACAAGAACCAGAAGGAGAATTCGACAATGACAACCCCTATAGTCCTTTCATACCAGATTTCCTTTAATATCTTGCCTTCCAAATAGACTGGAGTTCTTTAAGCTTATCTGAATTTACATACATAGTCCCACATAGTTATATTTAGCTACCATTTTCCATTATCTTTTATTCACCTCCATTCTGAAAAGAGAGGTTCTTAATATCCCCATGTCAAAAATGCAGATCTGGTCTTTGATCAAGCGCAGTCTTCTGAGAACGAAAGAAAGTTGACAGTTTCCTTTTCAAAGGGAGAACATAAAACAAATACACATCGAGTACTGGGGAATCATATCTCGCAGCATCAATGGTATTTAAATATCTCATTAGATGGTACTTTTGGAACTCTGCTGCCTGGAAACTGTCCCTAACAACCGTCTCTGCTTTCCTTTTACCTAAAGTAAAAGCTATTGTCATTTAACCACTACGTATCTAGAAATATAATATGGTGTAAAAAGAAAAAGACCATACTATTCTTATGATACAAAAAAAACATTGTCACTTAAAGCTGAACTCCACCGATAAGGGGAAGTTCCACTTGTCTGCCTCCTCCCCCCATCCACTGCCACATTTGGCACTTTTTTGGGGGAGGGAGGAGTGGATACCTGATTTTGACAGGTACCCACTCCCACTTTCGGGTCAGATCTCAGCAGCGATCTGAATGGGAATTTCGTACCCCCTCTTAACCCCTGCAGCCTTCTGAGACATTTCACAGGTCCCAGAAGACTGCAACCCATTAACAAAGCTTAGCTTCACTTCTGGTTTCCCTTACTGAAGATGGCTGCACCAGCCCCGAAGCCGATTGAAGATGCAGGCGCCAGCACCCGAGCCGAGCCAAGTGAAGAATCGCTTGGTGAGGACATCCCTGACCCCCGAGACAGGTAAGTGTCCTTATATTAAGTATTTGTAGCTGTTGATTTTTCATTTTTTGGGGGAGCCTGGAGTTCCCTTTAAGTAGAACATATATTGCTTCCAATTTGACCCAGCCCCATCACAAAGCAATATTCATGGCTAAACACTGATGTAGATTCTGAATTCCTATTGGTGGAAAAAACATTTAAGGGGGCAATAACAAATATGTCCTAAACATTGCATAAGTCACTGCACAATGGGAAGCTGCTCATGACAAACTTGGACGTGTGACCTAAACAGTTAGACTCGGTACAATCTTTTTGGGCTGTTTGATACGGTTGAAGGCTTCTGAGCAGGAGTTAGAAGAGGAAATTAAAAGTCCTTATTACTTAAAACAGGGTTGTGGGCAGGTACATGGTAGATGAGGTTCCATATTTAGAGATGTAAAGTTATACACTTGGGTGATATGATGATTACATTGTACAAATATTTCAAAGGTGACTTCAGTAACTGTAATAAACTGTTTACTGTAAGGTCCCTGAAGAGGACATGTGGTCATGATTTGAGGTTAGAAGAAACATGGTTTAATCTTAGATTGCAGAAAGGGTTCTTTGCTGTTACAACAGTAAAAATGTGGAACTCCCTCCCCCAGGAAGTGGTACTGGCTGAGAGTGTTAACAACTTAAAACAACTTTTAGATGTCTTCCTCAGGAGGCAGAATATGTAGGGCTATGGGAATTGTTACAGAATAAAAATCACAGACATAGGTTAAACTGCATGGACCTGTGTATTTTTTCAACCTTATAAACTAACTGTAAATAAATATGTCTTCTAAGCAAAATAAATGCCTGCTTATCCAGCCATGAGCACCATTTTTCAATCGATTCATGTTTTAGGGTTACTATGCTCTTTAATTTTTTCCACACTGTACTCCTGCATTACCACCCTGTCACTTGTTTTCTGATGATAAAAAAGTGATCGTTTAAACACACATTAAACAGGTATGTTCCACTGTTACCACCAACAAGAAAGCCAGACTGAGAAATATCATTTAATCATAGTTGAAATGCATGCATGTAGACAAGCAGTGGTTGCAAATAGGCTGCAGGAGATCAGCAGCACTGAGATGCAAAACAGAATGAAAAAGCTGTCATTATTATACACAATGCTTTATAATAAAAGTAAAGTATGCTGAAAACCACTGCTTCCTCTCCTCCCACCTATGCTGTATAGTGCTGGTAAAAAAAGATTTGCGGAAATACCTTATTTCAGTTTGCTCCATGTCACGTGTTGCAAAAGTTCAGCTGCCCTGTGTCATGGAGCAGCTGCTGCAGGGGAGAGGAGGGAGCGCTGACAACAGAAGGGGAATGAAAGCCAGCTGGTGATATTTAGCCCCATTGTCAAGACCTCCATGACACAGGGGAGACAGAAGATTATTTACATATATCTTTTTTATCAGCACTATACAGCTTAGATAGGAGGGGGGAAGCAATGGTTTTCAGCATACTTATACAGTATGTAGTCTCTGCTTCCACTCGAATGGATGTAGCATCCTCATCTAGTTAGGCTGCTGGCATAAATTAAGTTTTTTGGCTTTACTGCAGTCAGTGTATCATTAATCATATATAATTGTCAGAATAGGGTTTACTGGTCAGGTGCAGGGGTGGACTGACAACTCATGGGCCCCCCGGGCAATAGGGGATCATGGGGCCCCTGTGTCCTCGCCCACACTCAAAAAAGCCTATGAAAAAGGTACCAGGGGCATCTCATGGGGCCCCCTACTGACCCTGGGCCCTCGGGCGGTGCCCGAGTTTCCAAATGGTCAGTCCACCCCTGGTCAGATGTTTGAATTTTCTCACCTACTTCTGGAAGAAAATTGCAGAATATAGGGCAGGGAGAGCCAAATGACCAGCATTAATATTTATCATGCTCCAGACAATCCCTAGAAGGAGATGACTAGAAGGTGGCTGATGAGGTGATAAATGTCTGAGAGACCCAAACAAAGTGTTCTCTCCTCTCCAAGGAGGGTTCCACTTCTTCTGGGGCTGTTGACCCCAGGAGATAGCTAGTGAGTGAGGCAAGAAATTGCAGTCTGGGCCTCAGCAGATGCTGGTCTGAGGGACTGGAGAAGATTGCTAAAGGATTATTTGCTGGAGGACATCACCGTGGAGTCCTGGTCTAGAGAAAGATATTTTGTCTCCTTCACTGAGGAACTACCCATGGTTGCTGGGTGGCCAACAAGTCCTGAGACATTATGAGTAAAGACCTTGCTGTGTACAAGTACTGCAAGGAAACGTAATGCCACATGAGGTTATATGGACTGGGACTTCTCTTATAGACCATCCTGTTATCTCCAGGAAAAGCTGCTTTTCAAAGATTAGTGAGAAGCTGTTCTATTATTTCTGCAATCATTTGGAGTATGCTGTTACCCTAATCCCCTAACCTGCTCAAGTTCTTAATTATTAAAAATACATCTGCCATACCATGAGTGTCAAACTGGCGGCTCTCCAGCTGTTGCCAAACTACAAGTCCCATGAGGCATTGAAAGATTGACATTTACAAGCATGACTCCCAAGGGCAGAGGCATGATGGGACTTGTAGTTTTGCACCAGCTGGAGGGTCGCCAGTTTGACACCCCTGCCCTAGACGGAGCCAGTATTGTGGGTGTGCACGAGTCTGTGTGTGTGACTGGCGACCTCTCTACTAGCAAGGGAGACTTGGGCATATTCTCAGTGGCATCTCTGGAAGTAAGCGCTAAGTGTAGTTTAGTCAAGATTTATATTCACTGTAAAGCACAAGGATTTGTGTATAATCAACACCTTCGACTCTCCATGTCATAGCTGTCAGGGCTGAATCAGGAAAAAGATCCAGCTCCGCTAATGAACTATGAGCTTTGCTAACTGCTTTGCCGTTGTCGTCTGTGAACTCAGTCAGTATGCAGTTGGGGACAGGGTAGCCATGGATACAAATTATTTCAGGTCCTCATTTTAAAATCATATTCTGTTGTTTTGTTAGATCTGAGTTTGACTTTAAATAGCACAGGGTACCAGCAGACAGAGCTTTAGGCAAAACAGTAACATTGTACTGAACAATGAGGATGTGAATTTGGCTGCAAGCATCACATACAACGGTTAGGCCATGTATGAAAGTCAAACTATTCAGCTGAATCTACCATGGAAACAGCAGAGAATCCATGGGGGGGTTCAGCCATCTTTAAACTGGCCATACACTGTACAATCATATTCTGAAATCACTGCACAATCTCTTATGAATTTATCAAATATATGTAATCTGAGAACATACCTTGCATTTGTTAAGCAGGCTTCTGCATTACATAGTTGATGGTTAGTCTAAAGGAGATTGTACAGTCAAAGTGACCAAATGTATATCCAGCTTTAGACTACAGCTGAACAAAATCATAATGGCTACAAATTGTGAGTCCAAGAACTGAAGCCGGAAGCTGAGGAAGCAAACATGCCACCTTCCTTTCATGCCATTTATCTAAGGTAGCTTTCAAATCAAACCCTATCAAGCAGATTTCACTTAAAGCCACATACTGTAACACAATCCACAAAATCAGTCCTTATTATTCCTATGCTGCTTAGTTAACACACATGTTAATATGCTTGAAGTGTCGAATTGTGCAACCATACATATGTATGGACCCTGCCAGAAGCACAAGTTTACCTAGTCTAAATGTAGTGTTGTGGTTGTTCTCATTGTTATAGTTCTGCTTTCGTTGGGTTTTTCCTAAAATCAGATTGTTTGCTTCTGCCCATTTGGGAGAGTGCATGGCAATAGAAAAAAAATACAATAAATCCGAGTAACGAATATTTATGTATCCTTGGCTTGAGGTGATTGTTGCCGTATTAGTGCATTTGCGACAGAAACATGTAATAGTACTGCTTGGACTTTGAAGAAGGGGACATACCCCGAAAGCTTGTCCTCAAAATTGTATGTTAGTGCAAATAAAAAAAAGTATCACGGACAGTACTCAATTGTTTCTGTATCCTTGGCCAAACTAAAGTGGGCCATAGGTGGATCAAATCTTATCCAGTCTCTGCTGAACAGGCGAAGAATCAATCCATCTATGGGCAGGCTAGTTTTACCCAAGTCAGTCCATCGGTCTATTCTGTCAGATATTTTCACATGCTATAGTTGTTAGCAGTAATTGTGTTCTGCCTTCCAGCAGATCCTACCTATTAGTCCCCGCCTGATGCTGGTTACTGGGAGGGTATTTCGTTTCTCCTCTTCATTTCCCTTGTGCTTCAGTGTTTTGCTCTGCTAGCCAGATACTGCTTGCCATTAATCCCAAGGCTGATTCCTGCCTGAGGCCTGCTGCTCTTGCATTGTACCTATATCCTGTACCCTACTGCCTGCCCCTCATACCTGATCCCAATCTTGGTTCCCCCTTGCCAACTGTTTATAACACCTCCAGCTTTACCCTGTTGATCACTGTCCCCCATTTTGTATATATTACATACCTGTCTAGTTAGTTTGCTAGTTAGTCTTTTTGTTATGTTGCTTGTTAGGAATTTGTCATTTGATTATGGTTCACTTGTGTTTTCACTTTTGCTGGTGTTTGGATAGGTTTTGTTTCACTATTAATAAACTTGCTTACCATGTACGTCGGCAAGCTGGTTTGGCTGCACTGGATCACATATCTAGTACGTGATTAGCACTCCCGGGTAGGGCGTGCATGTGCACACCCACCAACCCTGCTGTACTGTGATTCATTACAGCTCAAGACTTTTTTTTATAACTTTTTTTTATGGTTGAACTGGATGAACTTTTGTTTTTTTTTCAGCCAGTCTATCCATGTAACTATGTAAGACGATCAGCAGGTCCTTGTCAGTGATTGACCACTGGGCCCCGCTGATCAGCTCAGTGATGCACAGAACACAGCTCTGTGATAGTAAACAACACAGAGCTGTGTTCGGTGACAGGCAATCTTGCCGTTTATTCATTCCCTGCTAAGCAGGGAAAAAAATAACAAAATCCATTAGCAAAAACAACACACAGTAAACACATTAACACTTGTTAGGCACACAGTTAACCCCTTGATCATCCTAGATGTTAACCCCTTCCCAGTCAGTGTCATTAGTACAGTGACAGTGTAAAGTATTAGCACAGATCACTTCACTACTGTCACCGGTGATTTCAGCGTCAGCCAGTTCCCTCAAAATGTCAGTGTCAGATTGCCCACCGCACAATCTTACTATAAGTCGCTGATCGCTGCCATTACTAGTGTTTAAGAAAAAAATTAATCAAAATTCCAGCATATTCCAATATATATACCGCCGTTTGTAGATGCTATATCTTTCACACAAACCAATTAATATACACTTATTGGGAACTTTTTTTTAACAAAGACGTGATAGAATAGATTTTGGCCTAAATTTATTTTAAAACTTTAATTTTTAAAACATTTTTTATTGGTTACAGCAAAAAGTAAAAAATATTGGTTATTTTTCAAACTTTTTTTTTTTTTTACATCTATATAATAAAACAAAATAAAAAAACAGTGGTGATCAAATACCACCAAAAGAAAGCTCTAATTGGGTACAGCATTGCATGACCGTGCAATTATCTGTTCAAGTAGCGTAGTTCCGCATAGCAAAAAATGGCCTGGTGAGGAATGGGCTAAAATCCTCTGGAGGTCAAGTGGTAAAATCATACTTAGTCTGGGCTCAGTTTCTTAAGTTTAGCTACACAGATCTGGCCATCCATGCTACTGCTATCCCTGACAGTACCTGAGAACGAGGCTCCTGTTCCAAATGATAAACACAGACTGAAGCACAGGGAACAGGAACCTAGTTCTGATCTGACACCCCTCTCGCCCACTTGTTAGTACTGATGACACTGAGCTCTGCTATGGGAGCACCTCTCTGGGGTTTTTTTTTTCAACTATGACTGGCTTTCACTGTCACTGTAGCTGACATGTTCCTTCCCTCTGCATTCCTAGTGACAGCACTTGCCTTAGACAAGTGCTTGGGGCTGTAGACAAGCGCCATCGTTTAGCCCTGGTTCACGCTGATGCGGTGTGGAATTTGCATTTTCTGTGCAAATTCCACACTGCATCAGAATCGCACCCATTCATGCAAACCGCTGCCGGTATATATGTTAACAACACCCCGAAAGCGGTCTGCAAAATGCTGTGCAATGTGCAGAATTGGATCGCATAGGTGTGAATACCCATGCGATCCGATTCTGGTGCAGGCCAAAACAGGGTCCTGGTGCAGGTGCGGTGCGATTAGAGCCATACAAAATGTATGGCTCCAATCGCGCCGCACACAGATCGCATATGATTTGCACAGGACTGCGGTGTGGTTCCTGTGCGAATCACATGCTATTTACAGCACCGCATATATGTGAACCCAGGCTTAAGGCTCATTAAAAATGTGTCTCCTTGCTAACCGCATGGTCAGATAGTGGTGCAGAGAGGGGGGACTGGTGCCCTGCCTGACTATATAGCTAGCCTTATAGACCACCTAGAAAGATGACACACAGTAATACATATATGAGCATTGTCCCTGTATTGCTACCCTCTTGAGGGCCGCTGTGTTTCTAGGTTGCCCTAAGCTCTGCACAGCCAGGCAAAATGCATTTTCCATACGTGCATCCATAGTCAGTGAACAGTCCATGAGCTTGGTTTTGTTATTTTATTAGGGTAATAGGGGTTATGAGATGCCCAACTTGACAGAAGCAAAGCACAGGGACAACTTCCTTCGTATTTACAGAAACAGACCCTGGACAGTTTTTTTTTCCTTGAAAGCTGTCACTCTTTGCGGATCAGTAGCAGCAGCCCCCTATGGTCTAGGGACTTGTAGCCCCTCTGAAAAT